AGAACCAGCTTTTTGTTTCATTGATTTTTTGGATTATTTTCTGTGTTTCTATTTTGTTGATTTCAGACCTCTGTTTGATTATTTCCAGTCTTCTACTCCTCCTGGGTAAATCAGCTTCTTTTTTTTCTAGAGCTTTCAAGTGTGCTGTTAAGTCTCCAATGTGTGCTTTCTCCATTTTCTTTAATTGGGCACTTAGTGCTATGAACTTTTCTCTTAGCACTGCTTTCATCGTGTCCCATAGGTTTGAATACGTTGTGTCTTTGTTTTCATTAAATTCAAGGAAGACTTTAATTTCTTTCTTTATTTCTTCCTTGACCCAGGGGTGATTTAGTAGTTGACTGTTCAACTTCCAAGAGTTTGTTGGCTTCCTGGGGGTAGCATTGTTGTTGAATTCTAACTTTAATCCATGGTGATCTGACAGGACACAGGTGGTTACTAATATTTTTTTGTATCTGTGGAAGTTTGCTTTGTTACCGAGTATGTGGTCAATTTTCGAGAAGGTTCCATGAGCTGCAGAGAAGAAGGTATATTCTTTCCTATTTGGGTGGAGTGTTCTATAGACGTCTGTTAAGTCCATTTGATTCAACACCTCCCATAATTCTCTTATTTCTCTGTTAGGTTTCTGTCTGATTGACCTGTCCATTGGTGAGAGAGGTGTGTTGAAGTCTCCTACTATTAGTGTGTGTGTGGTTTGATGACTGCCTTCAGTTCTAGAAGTGTTTCTTTTACATAAGTGGGTACCTTTATATTAGGGGCATAGATATTCAGGATTGAGATTTCTTCCTGATGAATTGTTCCTGTTATGAGTATGAAATATCCATCTCCATCTCTTCTGACTGATTTTAGTTTGAAGTCGATTTTGTTAGATATGAGAATGGCCACACCCGCTTGTTTCTTACTTCCATTTGCTTGGAAAACCTTTTCCCATCCCTTTACTCTGAGTAGGTGTCTGTCTTTGTGGTTGAGGTGTGTTTCTTGTAAACAGCAGAATGTTGGATCCTGTTTTCGTATCCAATCTCTAAGTCTGTGCCTCTTTATAGGTGAGTTGAGTCCATTGATATTAAGTGATATTAATGACCAGTGATTGATGACTCCGGTCATTTTTTTTGGGTAGTAGAGTGTGTTTTCCTTCTTTGAGTTGTGCTTGTGAAGGGTCGCTAGATGTCTGAGTTATTGTAGGCAGTGTTGGGAATGTTGGATTCCTTGGGTTGTGATTTTCCTTCTAATATTCTCTGTAAGACTGGATTAGTAGCTACGTATTGTTTAAATTTGTTTTTATCCTGGAATATTTTGTTTTCTCCGTTGATAGTGAACAATAGCTTGGCTGGGTATAGTAGTCTGGGCTTGCATCCATGGTCTCTTAGTTTCTGCAGTACCTCTATCCAGGACCTTCTGACTTTCATGGTTTCCATAGAGAAGTCTGGTGTAAGTCTGATAGGTTTACCTTTATAAGTTACTTGACCTTTTTCCTTTGCAGCTCTCAATATCCTTTCTTTAATCTGAATGCTTTGTGCTTTGATTATTATATGGCGAGGGGATTTTTTTTGATCCAGTCTATTCAGTGTTCTGTATGCTTCTTGAACCTTCATAGAAATATCGTTCTTTAGGTTGGGAAAGTTTTCTTCTATAATTTTGTTGAATATATTTTCTGGACCTTTGATCTGCAATTCTTCTCATTCTTCTACCCCTATTATTCTTAGATTTGTTTTTTTTATTAAGTTCCAGATTTCCTGAATGTTTTGTGATGAGAATTTGTTGGATTTGCTGTTTTCTTTGGTCAGAGCATTTATTTTCTCTATGGTGTCTTCATAATCTGAGATTCGTTCTTCTATCTCTTGTATTCTATTGGTTATGCTTGTTCCTGAAGTCTCTGTTTACCTAGATTTTTCCATATCTAGCAGGCCCTCGGTTTGTGTTTTCTTCATTGTCTTCATTTCAGTTTTTAATTCTTGAACTGATTCCATTACCTGTTTGATTGTTTTTTCTTGGTTTCCCAGGGTATCGTTTACGAATTTACTCATTTCTTCAATCTTTTTGTTATATTTCTCTTCTATTTCTTTAAGTGAGTTATTCATACCCTATTTAAGAGACTCTATTGCTTTCATAATGACACTGTTTTTCACTTCGTCCGGAATAGGGTGTTCAAGTCCTTCTGTCGTAAGATCGCTGGGATCTGGTGTTTTCATGTTGTTTTTCAGATTGTTGGAGAAATTCTTGCCCTGGCGCCTGCCCATCTCTTCCTTCAGATGCTCTCCAATGGCTCTTCCCTCCGCTGGGTCTTCTGCTACAGGGTCAGTGCCCCTTGCTGGCCAGGAATCTCCTTGCCTGCAGTCCTACTTTGCTGCAGGCAGGCTATTAAAACAAAGGAACTCCCTCCTGCCCGTTTGCACTCACTGCCCCATCTTGGCGGCGCCCACACAGGCTGGGTTGGAGGATTTTATGCCCCTAAAAAGGGAGAGAGGAAGGGAAGGGGTTCCTGGCTGAAAGCGGGGATGGGGTAGGAGGAGAGAGGGTTTAGCTGGGGGCTTTACTGTCTCTTTAAAGACTTTACCTTAAAAAAAAAACATTTAATTCCTTTTATAACTGTCTATATTCTTTTTCCTCTCTCTCCCAAGCCTATGTACTTTTATCCAACACTGTGACCATTTAGAGGTTGTTTATGTCTGAATTTGTCCTATTGTGTATCTGTAATTATTTACTGTCCAGGTGTCCTTCTTAAAATGCTAAGCACTTCTTAAAAACTTAAGCTGTGACATTACTAGGGTATATACAGTACTTTCTGCTTGCTCCGCCCACCCCAGCATAGTGAACCTGCTCACTGCCTCCAAGAGCCATGCACAATGCCCCATTTCTAGGCACACAGCCAGTCCATGTTGCCACCAAGCAAGCCATAGCATGTTGCTCACAAACCTGATTTAAATGTTTTGTCTTCTGACAGAGCCAGTGGTCATGTTGGCAGCAGGGCCCAGAAAGCCGGCATTTTAAAAACTGCTGCTCTTTTTCTGCTACTGCTGAATAAGAAAAACCTCCCTTAAAACTACATGCAAACAGCAAGAAGCTGTGTTAAACTCAGTTATTTTTGTGTTTGTAGAATTCCTTTTCAAGCTATCTCAGATTATAAGGGAATTTTAGTTGGCCACGTGGTTGCCAATTTGTAGTACAGAGGCCGCTTGTTCATTCTGGCCACCCAGAACCAAAATAACCACACAGAAACTGTATTATTTAAATCACTGATTGACCTATTAGTTCTAGCTTCTTATTGGCTAACTCTTACATATTAATTGAACCCATTTCTAGTAATCTGTGTATCACTGCATGGCTGTGGCTTACTGGCTAAAGTTCTGGCTTCTCTCTGACTCTGCCCTTCTTTCTCCCAGCATTCAGTCCAGTCCTCCCCACCTAGCTCTGCTCCACCCCACCCTGCTCTGCTATAGGCTCAAAGCAGTTCTTTATTTATTAATGGTAATCACAGCTTACAGAGAGAAATCCTACATCATGAGAGGAGCCTGAGTGAACTCAGAGAATATTCAGCGTTCAACACTTTGAAAACAACAGAGACCCTGTCTCAAAGATTTATCAGGGATGGGAGAGTACAAGCAAGCACTGGTGATGGTAGAGGTGGTGGAGGTTGTGGTGGTGGTGGTAGAGTGCTCACCTAACACATATGAGGCCCTGGGATCAGTCCTCCATACTGGAAACCAACCAACCAACCAACCAACCAACCAACTCAGCTTTAGAAAACATCCTATGATGAAAGACCTCAAATGAGAGACTTCATTCTTGTGGGATATTTGTACATTGTGTGAATACATACTGCTGTGATTGGTTTAATAAAGAGCTCAACAGCCAATAACTAGGCAGGAAGTATAGGTGGGACTTCTGGGCAGAGAGAGAGTAAGTAGGAAATTAATCTAAGCATACAGGAGGTGCCAGGAGACACAGAGAAAAAACAGGAGGTGCAAAATGGAAGAGAGGTAATGCCATGTGATAGAACACAGATTAATATAAATGGACTAATCTAAGGTATAAGAGCTAGTTAGGGACAAGCCTAAGCTATAGGCCAAGCTTTCATAATTGATAAGAAGTCTCTGTGTCATTATTTGGGAACTAGCAGGTAGGACAGAGAAAGCCTTTTTTATATTTAAGTACATCCCTTTCTTAATACCTTCACCCTTCAGAGGAACCTTCCCTTACCTCTTTTAATTTTCCTTCTTTATTTTTTTTTTTAAAAAAATTGAGACAGGGTTTCATTATGTAACCTTGGTTGTCCTGGAACTCATTCTGTAGACCAGGCTGGCCTCAAACTCACAGAGATCCTGCTGCTTCTGCATCCCGAGTGCTGGGATTAAAGGTGTGTGCCATCATGCACAGTTTTTCCTTACCTCTTAATTTTACTCTCACAATATGCATCCCTGATTTGTTGGTTTGGGTTTTTTTTACAACTTCAAATTTTAGTTATTTAATATGTATTTCCCCCACAAGACTTTAAACTTCAAGATGAAAGAGACCTTGTTAATTTTATTAACTGTTCTACCCCAGAGGTTACAACAATAGATACCCAACGAATACTTGTTGATGAATATACGAATGACACCAAGACAAGAATATTTGCTCTAAAATAAAATGCTTTAAAAGCTTTCTCAAAGGCCTTTTCATAACTCCTAGTCATCGAAGAAATAGAATTTTCAAAACAAAGCTATGGCTTTTCCATAGGGCATGTTTTTACTAATAGTTTTGACATTTTCCTAAGAAACAAACTGTTCTTTATGTTCACATAAACACGTGTATACACACACACAACTGGTTGTTAGGGAGGTAATGATGACCACAGAAAGCTTAAGGAACCTTATCATAAGCCACAAATAGTTCTCTCATCTGGGTTACATTGCCCACATGGCATTGGCAGATATTGTCACATCTTTATTCTACATTGTGGAGTTGCCAAGGCAACCTATTTAAGAATCATTCTAGAATTTCTCTCTGAAAGATTCCAGGCAAGGCCAGGGAAACCTAAGTAAGGCCTGTAAACGTGAAGATGGATTGTGTCCTGAGCCTGCAGGTCGGGCTGAAAGATTCAGCCACCAGGAAAATGAAGATCTAGGAGTCTCGCTTCCTTGAGCCTGTGTGGAACATAAAACCTAGAGGGAACGGTAAGAGACCTTAGTGGATAGATGCAGTGAGTGAACACTGGCTAGTCAAGGGACCATTTGAGCTCCTAATCTGCTTCCTCTCTGGTTAATTTGGCCCAACTCTTGTGAACTTCATGTTTTAGATATATGCTTTAATGTATATATGCACAAGGTAAAAATTGTGTCATCTTGAAGGGATGGAAAAAGTACCAACCAGCTACTAAGTTAGAAGACTTTGATTTCAGAGAGGCTGTGTAACTTCTCTAGGCCTGCTTCTTTTTTAATGTTTTAAATTACATTTATGTATGTGTGTGTGTGTGTGTGTGTATGCATACATGAGCAAGTGCATGTGCACAAGTCTGAGTGCATGTGGTATAGCACAAAAGGTCAGAGGACAAGTTGTGGGAGTTGGTTTTCTCCTTTCATCGTGTAGAGCTTGGGAATCAAACTCAAGCCAGCAGGTGTGGTAGCATATGCCTTTACTCATGGAGCCGTCTCATCAGCTCTAGGTCTGCTTCTTCACGCTTCTAAATTGGAGATGTCTGAACAAGTCTAAAAGACCAGAAGTATCCTCACATATCACAGGTTCAAGAATGTTGTCAAGATGGTCTCACAATGCTACCTTGACGTCTACGCCTAAGTCACTTATGCCTATTGTGTTCCCATAAAAGGGACATGCATTCCCACATAAGCTCTACTTTGCTTTTGCCTTGGAATAGGCAGACTTGAGCTCCCACAGAAGGAATATGAGAAGAAATAGGGAATTGCTACCACTCTGCCATTGACTCATATTCTAGATGTCAAACTGAGATACATGCAAAATGTAAGCACTTACAGGATAAAGGAACAGATTGTAGCAATACTTAAAATATCATAGCTCTTTAAATAAGAAGCAGTTCTGATAAGCCTACTTGGAGTTCAGGCAAAACACCCATGGACTCCGAAAATCAAAATTATATATTGCCAAGTAATGACTTCTGTGTTGAATTGTAGATAAAGGTAGGTGTCACTCACACAGTACTGAGAGTCTCCCTTAGTTGACAGATACCACTTGCATCAGTCTTTAACTTTGCAGATTGGTTTTTTGTTAGCATCCCTGTCTGCTCCTTTCTCCTCCTCCTTCTCCTTCTCCCTCCCTCCCTCTCTCCCTCCCCTCATCTTGGTTCCCTCATGTTCTGCTTTTACACTATTATAGCCTTCTTATCTATTCATGCTCTTCACAGCCATATTATTTTCCCTATGTATTTCAGCTGTTATCCATAGTCCATGAGCTCCTTAATCAGACCTTGGTAATTTCCTGGCCTTGAAACCTAGGCTTCTACTGCCTATGGGACATTGGAACAGTGAAGTCTCACCAGCACCCAAATCAAGTTATTGTCTCTTAGAACTGTAATTTATAGGAAGACAGGGACCATGTTTGTTCACCCACCATTATACCTCCATTACCTGACACATGGTAGACACCTAGGAAGTACTGTTAGACAAATAATGAACCTGCAGATTCCAAACTAGGAACCTTGGAATCTCCATGCTGCTTCTGTCTTCCTCACTTCTCATCCTCACGTGTAGACTTGTGGGAGTTGTTACACAAAACCCTTACATTTGACCCTATCTTCCTCTTCATGCCCCCAGCTGGGGTTTGAATTATTCAGCCTTTATCACTTATCTCCTGGATTATTGCAGGAGCCTCCTCATTGGTGTTCCTGCTGCCAGCTTTCTCCTGGTTCATCACCAGCTGACCCCCAGAGTGACTGTCCTGAAGCTTGAATTTAATCAGATTACCCTCAGGATCCCCTGGATTTAAACAGAGTGCAATCTGGCAGCTTCAAAACGAATCCAAACAGTCTATTCATGGTTTTGAGAAAATGAAAATTACTGTATTTTGTTGATTCTAAGATGCATATTTTTTTTCACATTTTAGCATCTCTGATTTGGGAATGCCTTGAAATTGACAGTGTCATGGTTTGATTGCTGATGGTTTTCTTTCTTACTAGTACATAAAATAGTGATGTACCCTGTAATCTATGGCATCGTGGTTGTGCTGCGATGTGTTCGTGTGGACATTTAAAAATAGAAGATTGTACATATAGAAGTATGCTTAGCTCTTCTTGAAAAAAAATGCATTAAGCAACACTGGTCCAGAATCTCTGGTAGCCTGAGATGGAGTTGCTGGCAAGTGGTGGCTGCCTTATTTAGATAAAGATTCTCTGCAGCGTCTGCAGTTTCTACCCAGGCTGTTATCTACTCCAGTCCCATTAAGAATCTTGAAATTACCTTTCCTGACCAGTAAGCTAATTACATTTTTTTTGGCTGTGATTTATAAGAATGCTCACAGTTGTCTCTAACCTACCTCCCCAGCTTAATGCTTCCACTCTCTGTTCTATACACTTTTTATTCCTTAATCTCAGGAAGCATTACTTACATATTAAGATGCTTTCATGACCCTTGGGATGCCTTTCCTACCTTTTATTTTTCATGAATTATTTCCTGGCTCTCCCAGGCATTGCTATTTTGTTTCTGGACTCCAGTAGTATGTGGGCATATTGCTATGCTTACACCTCGTTTTAAAAAATTGTGTGCCTGCCCCATGCCCTTCGTCCTACTGTGAATATGTAGGAGAGGACACCATAAATTGATTCACCACTGTCTCACTCTTTCATAGCTGGAACAGATCCGGCGTTATCTGTTAGATGAGAAAAAGATGGGCTGCACCTTTTGTGTTTTGTCTCTTGCTCTTGTTTTGCTTCGAATTTTTTAAAGATTTATTGATTTTGTTTTGTGTGTAGGAGGATTTTGCCTGCATGTATGTGTGCGCATCACATACATATTCCTGGTGTCCTTAGAGATCAGAAGAAGACAGGTTTTCCTAGAACTGGAGTTACATACAGTTGTGGGGCATTGACATTATGTTGGTGTTGGGAATTGAACTTAGGGCCTCTGTTAGAACACCCAGGATTCTAAATCACTGAGCTATCTCTCCAACCTGTTTTTTTAATTCATTATATAGTTGAGGTTAGCCTTAAACTCCTGATCTTCTTGTCCACACTTTTTAATGTTTTTAGTATTTACTACCTGAGCCTGTATGTAGGTTTTTGCGTGAGTAATTTGATTTCTCTAGAGGAACTGGTCTGGAGTACAGCTGTTGTCATATGGTAGGTAAATGTTCAACTTTATAAGTAACTATCTGTGCTAATTGGTTTGTTGTCAACTTAACACAAGTTTGGGTCATCACGGAAGAGACAACTCAACTGATAAAATCCCTGTCCGTTTAGCCTGCAGATTGCAAATTTGTGGGGCATTTTCTTGATTAATGACTGATGTAGGAGGACCGAGCCCCCTGAGACTGGTACCATTCCTGGGAAGGCGGTCCTGGGTTACATAAGAAATCAAGCTGAGCAAGCCTTGGGAAGCTGCGTTCCTTTATTGTCTATGTTTCAGTTCCTACCTCCAATTTCCTGTCCTGCTTTAGTTCCTACCTTGGCTTCCTACTGTGATCCAGACGTGGATGCCATATAAAGCCTTTTCTCTTCCAGTTGCTTTTGGTTACAGTGTTCATCATAGCAATAGACACACTAGCCAGGATACTACCCAGCTCTTTTTCAGGGTGATTATACCACACTGTGCTCCTACCAGCCAGGTACTAAAGTTTCCATTACTCACCATTCTAGCTAGTTCTGGACATTGTTAATATAGTTTAAACAACTAACTATACTAGTAGGTGAATAGTGTATCTTCTTTGGGGTCTAAATTGGAAGTTCTAATGCCTTGAATCCAGTCTGAAAGAATTGAAAGAGAAAACAAAGCAAACTCAGAGGCACTTCTAATTGATTTGTTGACTTAATCGACCTTTTAATACCTAATTTCCAGAGGAAGCCTTATAGTTTTCTATGTAACCGACTAACATTTCAGTGACTGTAGATTGGCTTTTATTAACGTAACACAAAACTAGACACAGCTGGGGAGATGGAGACTTAACTGAGAAAATACCTTTATTAGATTGCCCTATAGGCATGTCAGTGGGAACATTTTCTTGATTGACTGGTGGTTGATGTGGGAGGGCCCAGCACACCATTTTGTGTGGTGTCATCCCTGGGCTGGTGGCCTTGGGGAGTTTGAAAAAGCAGGCTGAACAAGCCATGGGGAGCAAGATAGTGAGAGCCATACTCCTCCATGGCCTCTGCTTCAGTTCCTGCCTCCAGGTTCTTGCTTGCGTTTCTGCCTTCCCTTCCCCTGATGGTGGACTGTAACCGCTAAGCTGAAATAAACATTTTCTTCCACATTATGCTTTTGGTCATGGTATCACAGCAGTAGAAACTTAACTAAGACAGCCACCGAAAATGATACACATTGGGGAGTGCACTGTTTCTGTGGGTTTGGACTCAGGCACAGCTTATCCGGCCCTCTTACTTCAGGATCTGTGTGAGCTATTGCAATCAAGGAGTTGGCTGAGCGGCAGTCATAGGAAGGCTTGATTGAGGAAGAACCCACTTTCAAGATTAAGTTTCTAAGGGCCTGTTTGATTTTACATTCTTTTCCCACCCTAAGGTGGTATCTGTCATTGATGGTAAAGTGTGCTTCTTAGATCTTGTTTTTATTAGGCCTTCAAGACAAGGCCCCCCAAATGACAATGCTAAGAAACAGACACCTGAAGCACTTCTTGCAAAATCCTTATTGGTAAGCACTCCTGACTGGAACAGGCACACTTGAATGCTTCTGACCGCAGCTGACCCATCTTCTCTATCTAACAAGAGTCTCCATACTAACCCATCTGAGATGCCCCCTTCCCCCACTATTTGTCCCATTATAACCCAGCAAGCTTTCCTAGCTGGACACTGTACTGTACCATCTGAGGAGGCCCAGGTGTTTTGTCTATTAAAGCTGCTATTTCTTCTCCAAGGAGTTTGGTTATACTTGGTGGTTTCTTGCTGTGCCTTCTGATGGTTTTCTGATCCAGTCTGCTAGTCTGTGTCTTTTTATTGGGTCATTGAGATAGTTACTATTCAGAGTTATTATCATGAATG